AAAAAAAATAATGTAAAAACTATTGAAAAATAAAATAGATTGAGGTAATATATACAACACAATATAAAGTATATAATCCTCAATAAACAACAGGAAAAAAGACAAACAATTAATTGACAGCGAAACATAGCATTTTATTCTATTGACTAATATGGAGAAAACAGATACAATAATTATGTCCACGCTATTATTCCATATTTCAGTAATACAAAACTTGTGAAAAGATATAGTATTTATCGAGGATGCATGCCAAATCCTAGAAATACCACAAAGATGGAAACAAGATAAAAAATTACGAGGAGTAAAGGAAAAAAATGTTTTTCCAATAAAACACGCGTGAAATAAAAGACATAATAGTTTTTCAATAAAAACACGTGGAATAAAGGATACAACATTTTTTCCTAAAAAATTCAATCGAATTTGGGTTACAAACCCATCAAAAACTTGCCTGAAAGAAAAATTGACTCTTAAACGAAACATGCTCGATTGAAGTTATTTCTTAGGACGTTTTCATATAATATTTTACATATTTGACATCGTAAAACGTCTTGGGTATGAAATAATTGAAGTTAAATTATTATCGGGTGTTTAGATTTCAACAAGGTAGTAAGGTTTGAAAATCTTTGGAACCCGTAATAATATTAGAATAATGAATAGTTATTCTTTATCACTTCTAGGCACATACACGAGTTTCATTATTTTTCTTATTTTTTTTTGTACTATATTAAAATGATATATTCGAAATCAAAATTTGGTAAAGGAGACGTTATAAAGTAGATTAAAACACGTATCGACGCTTGATTGTTGATAGACTAAAGTGACATGGCCTTATAACTTGGAAAAGCTAAGAGTGTGTTTGGTTTGCATTTGAGTTTTTAATTTTGAATTCATTTTCTATTTTTAGTTTTGAGGGATTATTTTAAGTACAAAAAAATGTTAGATTTGTCATTTTGAAATTTTTTTTTTCAAAACAAAAAATTAGAAAACTCATTTGGTTTAAAAAATTTAGAAATAATTTTATGACATTTAGGAAAAGTTTGGGAAGAGAGAGAGAGATATTGGGATATCGGTATTTATATATGAGCAAGTTTTGTGTGATTTTATTAATTATTTTAATTTGAAAAATTGTTATGTTCATTTTCCTTGTTTTGAGTCAAAACGTCAAAAAGCCAATTTAGATTTTATGTTGTAAAAATTTCTTTGTTTTCGAAAACTCATTTTTAAAAATAACATACCAAACATGTTTTGAATATTTTAGAAAATTGAAAACTAAAAATAGTCTCAAAGCGACAAATCAAACGCATTCTAAATCTCCATTTGGTTAATATTATACCATTATAAAATATTTAATTAAAAGCTCCACTTTAGTAATTAAATATATGGTTGAAAATTTAATAAAAATTGTGGATCTTATGAAATATGTGATTAAAAATAAATTTCAGATAAATACAAACCAATTCAATATCATTCTCATGTCTAATTGATATTGGACTTTTTGTTCACTTTTTATTTATTCTTTTTTCCAAAAAAGTCTCTCTCGCACACTCTACCACGTCATTTTGCCTCTGTCAAGCCGATTATCCATGCGCTTGTCTTCTTTAAGCCATGAGGAACATTTCCATCACAACTAAGACTTTGACTTTGTCGAGGCATCATCCGTCAGAGTCAATCGCAGTTTTGTTGGCTATCCCGACTAACTGGTCTTTTACACCACATATGAAGATTCATCTGTGCAACTGCACAAACCTTGAATTTGATACCAATTATTTAGAATTTGGAATTTTATCTTAAAATGTTATAATCTATAGGGAAGGACAGAGAGGGCTCAGTGACCCCACAATTACTTTTGGAAAAAATCACAACAGATACGAATATTTTCTCTCAATCTCTCTCACGATTTCTTCCTCACCCCCTTTACCAAAACTCTAACACTTCTAATTTTTTAAAATTTGTCTATAATTTTTCCATAAATTACCATATCTACTATAAATTTCCACTTTCCAATCAAAATTTCAACTAAGATCCGTTTGATTGCGAAAATGAAATTTGGATGGAAAGAAAATGAATTTTAGAGAATTGAATTGCCTAGAAATTATTTTCTTGGAAATTGTCAATTTATTGTGTTTGATTCGTATAATTTTTCACGTGAAAAATATTGAAATAAATGTATTTTTGGTATTTGTTTGGCTATGTTTTATATGAAAATTGTCAATTAAAGGGATAAAATTTACTGATATTGGGGATATAATTTGTTTCCATTGTCAAAAAAATCAAAAAAATCATTTGTTTTTTGGTGTTCGTTTGACTTTGTTTTACATGAAAATTATCAATTAAAGAGATTTTTTTATTTTTTATAATTAGGGATAGAATTTGTTTCATTACGCAAAAAAACATGGAATTCCATTTCCCACCATATAGGTGGGAAAACAAATTCAATGAAAAGCTAGAAATGGTCATCATGTGAAGCAAACCTGAAAATCCAATTCCCAAGAAATATATGCTTATCAAACACCAAAAAAAGTGGATTCCATGGAATTGGAAGTGCCTAAGGGTTTGTTTGATTGCAATCATGAAATTTGCATGAAAAGAAAATAAATTCTAGGCAATTGAATTGTCTAGAACTTATTTCTATGAAAATTATTAATTAAATGTATTTAATTGATTTAATTTTCAACCTAGAAATTATAATACTTGTTCATTTTTTATTGGTAGGTAGATAAAAGAGAAAATGAATAGATGAGAGAGAGAGAGAGAGAATGAATTACTTGGAAAATAAAAACCACCTCTCCCTCAAGAAAATATTTTCCTTGTTTTTGAGGGAAATATGGTCACGTGACCAAAAGTTGGAAAACATTTTTCATGGAAAAAATTGCCAATCAAACATCCAAAAAGTAGGAATTTGGGTGAAAAAAATGACATTTTTCATGGAAAATAATGTCAATCAAACACACACCAATTGTATTTTTGCTACAAATTTACTCTAAGGGTATGTTTGATAAGCCAAAATTTTCCCTAGAAAATGGAAATTGAATTCCAACTTCCACTTTTACATTGTTTGATAGCATTTTTTTTTTTTTTTTACCTAGAATTCATTTTCCACTTTTTTTTGCCACATAAGCTAAATTCCACATATTCCTTAAATTGGAATTCTCACCAATATGGTGAGAATTCCAATTCCGGTCACTGTACCAATTCTTTTTTTTTTTGGTAATGGAAACAAATTATAAGAATTATAGTAAAAAAAAATTTCATTTAATTGACAATTTTCATGTAAAATAAAATCAAACGAATATCAAAAGATAAATGATTTTCTTGGTTTTTTTTTTTTTTGATAATGGAAACAAATTTCATCCCCAATATCAGTAAAATCTATATCTTTAATTGACAATTTTCATGTAAAATAAAGCCAAACGAACAACAAAAATTACTTTTATTTCAACATTTTTTACGTGAAAAATTATACCAATCAAACACAATAATTTACAATTCCCAAGAAAATAATTTCTGGACAATTCAATTCCCTGAAATTCGTTTTCAATTTAATTCAATTCCATATTTGGAATCAAATGGACTCTAAGACTATGCAAAGTGATTGTTGTCACATCATCGTCGGCCTCATTTCCAACTGCAATTTCGGAGTCATTTTCACTCGTCAAGCCTCTAGACAAAGTCAACTTAAGTTATTTTGCCTTTGCAAATTAAAAGGTAATCAGTAGGCATATGACAATAACTTATAAGTTAAAATTTTTATTTTCTTCAACCAAAATTCAAAGCGATAGAGAAAAAGAGTTTGAAGTACATTTAAAGTATGTTTTCTTGTTGTCTGATTTATCTTCAGGAATGATTTTTGAATTTTGTATATTAAATTGTGTCAAATTGATTTGGAATGGGTTTAGAATGATTTTATAATATATGGAATGATTTTTTAATTGAGCCCTTGTTTGAGCTCCATTCTTGTAAAAAAAAAAAATACATTTTTGAATGGTGTATTGATTAGAAATGTGTGGTTAAAAAATAAAAAAAATTAGATTTACGTGTAATATTATTTTATTGAAAAATGTATGATTGAAGTAGGGTCAAATCACTGTTGAAGAATGAATTTTAATAAAAAAAGGGCTCAAACAAGGGCCGACTATATAGAATAGGTCTGTAATACAATGTATGGTTATTTGAGGTATGCTCCCACGCCTTCAAGCCATGATCAAAGGTGAGGAAATGAAGTCCTTTTATGATTTTGTCCAATTTTTCTTACATTTATTGAATTATGTTTATTTAAATTGATTGTTGGTATTCAATATTGATTGTATATTTCTTCTTCTTATTACTTGAATTGTTGTTTGTATCAATTATCGGACAAATTCTTTAAACGCAAATCTGCATTTTCTTGTAATGAACAAAATATTAATAAAGTTTATTGCAAAAAATAAACACAAAATGTATCTATTAGTCTACAAACTTATGACATTGGTTGTAATTCTTCCTGTGACTACTACTATAGTAGAAAGAGCATTTTCTACAATGACTTATGTTAAGAATCGTTTGCGCAATTGTATCGAAGATTAGTGATTGAATGATAGTTTGATTGCATATATTGAAAATGATATGTTTAACAATTTTGAAAATAATGTAATTATGAAATATTATCAAAGTACAAAAATGCGTAAAAAATAATTGTAACAATATATCGAATACTTTTATGTTTTTTTACAACTTTTTGCGAGTTTAATTGTGCTCCTAACTTAAAATGTCTGTTTTCATCACTAACAACATATTAAGATGAATGATTTAGTTCCTTTAAAAACTCATGATTTATGTCCAATTAAGGCCCTTGTACAAATGAAATATACATGAATTTTTACAAATGACGAGGTGGCAAGATTGGATTGACTGGTTTGAAATTGTTTTTTGTTCAACGTCTAATGAAATTGTATCAATTGATAATGTGTCAAATTATTTGACAAAATTATTTGTATATGTAACATGATTGTTATTATGGGTTCGTTTGAGCCACGTTATTTTCAAAAAAATACATTTTTTAACAGTAATTTGATATTATTTCAATCACACATTCATCAATAAAATAATATTACACGTAAATCTAAAAAAATTTCTTATTTTTTAACCACACATCTTTCATTGATTTGACATAAATAATGTATTTTTTTTATTTTTATTTTTTTGGTTAGAATGTGGCTCAAATATGGGTTATATCTTTTTTTTTTTTTTTTTTTTTTTTTTACAAGGTGTCCTATTCTAGACTAATCCTTGGGTCTGTGATCCGGCCCCTCTTCACACAGTCCGGTTAATCGCAGGATGTGCCTCCAACTAGCCAGGGTCCGAGCGCTCCCCCCCTGGTCTGACAAAGTGCCAAGCAAGCCAATCCAAGTTGCACCTTGCCTTCCAAGAATAATCCTTGCCTTCCAAGTTCCCACTTGCCTTCCAAGAATAAATTCTTGCCTTCCAAATGTTCCCTTGCCTTCCAAGAATAAATCCTTGCCTTCCAAGAGCCCCATATTTCGAACTCACGACCTCTGCTCTGCCAGGTTTGACATCGTCCGTCCTTTACCAGTGGAGAAGTGCCCTGGGGGGCAAATATGGGTTATATCTAGTTGATGGGAGACTTGCTATTTAACTAAACGGCACCTGCAAGTAGAGCTGCCGAATTTCATACTCGTCCACCCTTTTTCTTAGGGATTTCGTATTTTGTTTCCTTGTGACATAACTGTTGTTTAGGTGAGTTAGTTGAACCTTTCTTTCCACCCCATATCGACCATTCATGTCAAGTCAAAAGTCCCATCTCATGGGCTGGCAGAAATACAATAAATACCAAAATACAGTTATAATGTTCAATTTTTGGATGATTCTTATTTTTTATAATCTATAATTTTGAGTGCAAATATTTTATGGGAAATGCTATTTTATTTATATACTTATGTGTATGCTTCTCACGAGATGGGGCTCACGTCCAATAAAAAAAGCGTCGATCCTGCCTCTTCTGAGAAGAGTGTAAACCGGAGTATATGTATAGCAAAACACATATTTTATACCTGTTAACCCATCCCACATGGAGCGAATCCGAAAGGTTGTTGATGTTGTCTACCTGCCAACAAATAATAACAAACTGTGCTAATTTTAATTTTTATTAAAATCAACACTTAATTTTAACTATATATTTTATAAAATTGATAATTTTTCAATCATATAATTTATTAACTTTTATCAAAATTTACTAAAGATTTAATTTTAATCTCCATCAATCAAGGCTATATATTCTATGTTGTAAATATAATTATACTTTTTATTATTTGTGTTATTTCTTCAACATGTTTACGTAATCAAGAATTGTTTGAAAATATAAATAAATCAGTATATCTTTTAATATTGAAATTACTAAATGAATTAGTTCCACATAATATTCCTGTCTTGAAAATCAATCAATTGGACCAAAAAAATAAAGTTTTGACTTGAAAATTAGTCTTGTTCTAACTTTAAATTCGTATATTAAACAATCTAAGTCAAACTTTTTCCATCTCTCGAGCCCCAAAGAAAAAAACCTCTCCTTCAGAGTCAATATCTCTTTTGATCAACCAAGTGGTTCAACAAAGAACCTGATGGACCGAATAGGAGATTTTCAAATTCTTTATTTACATTTTTCTTGTGAAGAAAAAAAAGTTTGTTAAAAATGATTTAACTTAACCGAAAAATCAAACTGATTCAGAGGTTGCTTATGGTAAAAGCTAAAAACATGGACTTGAAAACTTTCTAAAAATCATATAAAAATTGATCGATTCATGTTAAAGTTTTCATTCTATCTTGATTCAAACTTCTAATCCTTTGTCACTAAACTTTTTTTGAATCAATACCCAAACCAATATTTAAAACATGGGTACATTAATCTTCGGTATCATGGAATCTTATTATAATAAACAAAGTATCTCCATTGAGCAAAGGCCAATCTATCCGTTGGAAATGGTTGGCAGTTTGGACCATTTCATACTCATGCTTAAGCAGCAACTCGTACTATTCATATTCTATCTTTATTGTCACCCAAAAAAGACTGTTAATTATTTTTCTTCTCCTGTGGGTCACGAAGTATTACCAAAGCCGGCCTCCCCTGAAAACTTTACCCATTTAAGACCTGAAAACAGGCTACCAAAGAAAAAGCAAAAGAGAAAAAAGAAAAGATTGCCAAAGAAGAAGAAGGATTCAAGAAAAAGAAGGGTTTTTTGAAAAAAAAAAAAAATGCAAAATCAGAGGTCAATTGAAACTCAACAGTCTCTGATGCAATCTGGGCAGATTTCAGGAAGTTTGAGTTTCACTGGGATTATGACAAAAGAAGAGGAAGAAATGTCGAAATCTGCTCTATTGACTTTTAGGGCTAAGGAGGAAGAGATTGAGAAGAAGAAAATGGAGGTTAAGGAGAGAGTTCAAGCACAATTGGGTAGAATTGAACAAGAAACAAGGCGTTTGGCTACGATCAGGGAGGTAGTATATATTACTTTCTTATTCATTTATTCTTGAAGCGTCAGTTCAAAATAATGAAATTTTAGGATTTTGATTTGGTTTGCCCAGCTTTTTGTACATGGAAAAAATAATTTTCTGTCATTTTTCCCCAAAATTTCATCATTTTCTGTTAACTTCTTTAGGCAGAAGATGGTTCTTGTACTGTTACGCATATTTAATAGAAGAATTTGAAGAATTTCTCAAATTCATGTCTTTCTTATTTTCTTTTTGTGCATATTTCGAATTTAGGCTCGGAATAATCATCAAAGTTGAGATATTTAGTGTATATATTCTGAAGGGGAATATAGAAGCTTTCTTATTTTCACTCTGTAAACCAACAAAAATAAGCATTTCAATTCTCAGTTTTGATGCCTTCCACAGTATACCTGTATTACCAATTGATTCGTCTAGTGCCTCGTCTAAAATTTCGAGCAAGTAAAGGTCTGCCATCTATTTATAAAAAAAGTGAACCACACTTGTGTGAGCACATTGAAGGCATAATTTAAATAAATAGTTTTTCTCCTATCTAGTATCTTAAGATTCTAGACGAGATGGTTCAGCGTTTAGATGAGTTGTGCTCTGCATATATAGTTGATTGTCGAACGTGTAGATCATTTGCATTGTGATAAATATATAGATGAGTAGTTTACAGATGCAAAATTTCATGTAGCAAATGTCGAGAAAGAATTAGGTATAAAAATGCTAATTACTTGTGTATTTTTCATTGACACTTTCGTGAAACGAGTATAAATGAATTATCAGGAACTCGACGCCCTATCGGATCCGATGAGAAAGGAAGTTTCACTGGTTCGCAAGAAGATCGACTCGGTCAACAAGGAGTTAAAACCACTTGGACAGACATGCCAGAAGAAGGTGCAATATGTCAACAGATAGTACTTTCTTGAATTTTAGACTAATTAAAGCTTTCATATAACAATCTAATGGAGATATCTGAAAATTGCTTGAATAAATTTGATTTGATTTCTAAATTTTGATCAATTACTCTCATAGGAGAGGGAGTACAAAGAAGCCCTTGAAGCTTTCAACGAAAAGAACAAAGAAAAAGTACAGCTGATCACAAGATTGATGGAGGTAAGTACAGGCTTATGATTATAATTACTTTCAGAAAAAAGCAGCTTATGATTAGTACTTATCGTCGTTTTTGTTGATGTTATAAAGCTGGTAAGTGAAAGCGAGAAAGCAAGAATGAAGAGGTTGGAGGAGCTGAGCAAGAACTTGGAAACACCACGCATAGCTAATGTTGGTGATTAAGTAGGTTTGTGGGAAAAATTTGAGAATGACACTTCTATTTCCATATAAATGTGGTTGTTTTCGGGTTTGGATGTAATATGTGATTTTCTTGTTAGTTCGTTCAGCTTTCGATGGAAGTGTGTCTAATTTTAGCTGGGGAATTCTATTGATTGTAGATTTTTAGTGCATTGGATGGAAGAATGGCTTTATGTATACCCACAAATGTTGACAGTTTTCTTGATATTATAGTGTTTGTTCCATGGAAACGGAGAGTCATTTTTGTCTAAGTTATCAATGCCTAAAGTACCTGCTATTACTATTGAATAATACTTGTGGTACACAGAAGCGTCCAACGGGGTGTCCATTTGAGCCTCGGTATTGGCCGAGGCGCCGGTGGGCCCCGGCGTGGCAGGCGCCTCGGCCAATGCCAAGGCAATGGACACCTCGTTGGATATCGCAATGTACCCATAGCATGATTGATTACTATTAGAATCGGTCATTGCTTATTTTGTGAATTCACAATAACTTTGTGAAACACGAGACATTCTTTATTTTATTTACACTACAATCATTCCATCAATTTCCATTTTCCACTTTCCACTAAATGTCAAATTTTTTGCTTCTCAAATTATGGAATGCCGTACTGTACTCTTTGTATTCTCCTGCCATGTGTGTTGATTATAATTGGTTTGGGGAAAGATTATTATCTGATTTTTAAGTTTTCTAATGGGAGTTGGGTTTTGCTTTTAAAGAGATAAGTGACTGTAACGTGTAAAAAAAATCAATTATTATGAATTATTTCATTCAAAATTTTGATGTATAATTTATATAAATATTTTATTTATGTACTTAATGTTCGATTAATGTTATTTTCCAGTGAAACATTAAAATATTTCGAACACTAAATTACATAATTTATTTTTCATTACTCTTGAACATTTGATGCTTATAAATGAAAATAATATTAGGACTTTTGGTGTCAGAAGTATATTGACGTTCACAGATTATAAAATTATCACGATCAATTAAACATGATCGTGGTTAATCGATATACTTAGATGTTTTCTGTATATCCAAAAATAATAGGCATGTTTGATTTACCAATTAAGTGAAACTAAATTAGCATTATTATATTTATTATGATAGTATAACGTGGTATCATCCAAAGGAGAATTAAGGTATACATTTAATGTTATTTAAATTTGAAATTAAGTATTTAAATCAAAACTAAAATCATTGATGCTAGAGCATTTTATATTTTACACTATTTGTTCCCGTTTCCCAGCATTTGTATGCTTTATCTGTGCCACTGTTCATTGTGTTCAATTTCTCTGACGTATGAACAAGTCCAATTTAACTTAAGTGTTTTGGACTTAGACTTGACACTTGAAGTTAAGAAACCCAAAAATCTCGCTGATGAGAGCAGTAATGAAGAAAAATCTTTCAATAAGGCTTGGAAAAGATCAAACAGATGAAGCTTAATGTTTATGCAGATACCTTAGCTAAGAATATCAAGTCAACTATCCCTAAAACTGACATTGCTAAGGAAATATGAAGTTTGTGGAAGGACGTTCCCAAACAACCGACAAGTCACTTGCTGGCACACTGGTGAGTACCTTAACCACCATGAAATTTGATGGTTCTAGTACCATGCATGAGCATGTAACTAAAATGAGTAATATTGCAGCAAGATTTAAGACTCTTGGGATGACTGTGGATGAGAACTTCCTGTTAGAGTTTATCATCAACTCCTTGCCTCCTCAGTATTATCCGTTCAATATGAACTATAATATCTTAAAAGGACAAATGAAATGTGAATGAATTGCACAATACGCTCGTGCAAGAAAAGACCAATTTTAAGAATCAAGAAACTCATTATGTTCATCTTGTAAGTCATCACGGAGTTAGAAAGAAATATGAAAAAAAAGTCTGGAAAGGGAATTAAGCTAGGACTACTAAAGATAAATGAGTCTTCTGTCCAGATCCACAATAAGGAATACAAGATAGATACATGCCATTTTTGTGATAAATCGCGGCACCATAAAAAGGATTGCGAGAAACGTAAGGCATGGTTCAAAAGTAAAGGTAAGATTATTTCTTATTTATATTTGGAATTTAATTTGGCAAAAGTTCTTTATAATATTTTGGTGGATTGATTCAAGATGTACCAGTCATGTTACCAATACAATCTAGGGATTCCTTTCAAACCACACCATAATTCAAATGAAAAGTTTGTCCTTTTGGGCAATCTAGTCAAGGCTCCAGTTGAAGCCGTTGGAATTTATTTTTTGATTTTGGATACTGAACATCATTTAGATTTATTTCAAACTCTTTATATACATGCTATTTCTTGTAATTTAGTTTTCATATCGAAACTTGATTCTGCTGAATATTTCTATAATGGTAGAAATGACCGTCTAAGTTTGTTTAAACAAAATTACCTCATCGGTTTCGCCACTCTTTGTGATGGCTTATATAAATTAAGGTTTGATAACATTTTTGCTAAGACTCTTTTGGCATTGCATTATAATGTTGGTACTAAGCGTAGTTTGTTGAATGAACGATCTGCTAACTTGTGGCATAAAGTTTGGATCACATATCCAAAGAAAGGATTGAAAGATTAGTAAAGATTGAAATCCATCCCGCCTTGGATTTTAGTGATCTTAAAACTTGTGTGGATTGTGTTGAGGGTAAGAAAACATACAAAGAAAGGAGCCACAAGAAGAACGCGGCCTTTTGATATAATACACACTGATATTTGTGGGCCTTTTGATATTCCATTATTTGGTTGAGAAAAATATTTTACAACTTTTATTGCCAAATTTTCACGTTATGATTATGTCTATCTAATGCATGAAAAGTCTGAAGCCATAAGTGCTTTAGAGATCTTTGTTAATGAAGTTGATCTACAACTAGATATAAAGGTGAAAATTATTAGATCTGATAGAGGTGGTGAATATCATGGAAAGTATGATAAAACTAGAAAACGCCCAAGTCCATTTGCTAAATTTCTTGAAAGATGTGACATATATTCTCAATACACTATGCTATGGACACCACAATATAATGGTGTGGTTGAAAGGTGTAATCATACCCTAATAGAAATGATTAGGTGTATGTTAAAAAAAATTTCTTTACCCGTTTCTTCGTAGATGTATACATTACAGACTGTTACGTATTTCCAAAACAGGATCCCTAGTAAGGTCGTTCCAAAGTCTCCTTTTGAACTTTGGACCGGCACGAAACCCAATTTTAGGCACCTACATGCTTGGGGTTGCCAAGTAGAAGCAAAAATTTATAATATACATGAAAAGAAATTGGACACAAGAACAATTAATAGATTTTTCATTGGTTATCAGAAAAAAATAAATAAAAAAGGAGTATATATTTTATTGTCCTAATTGTAGAGCTAGAATTGTTGAAACTAAAAATACTATATTTATTGATTATTGTGAAGTTAGTCGGAGTTTGGAACTATGAAATGTGGAAATACAAGAAGTTGGAGTTCAAATTTCTCTGCTCTCAACTTCCTCTAATGTTATTGTTCTGTTAATTGTTGAACGACATGATAATTTGTCAGAATAACAAATAAATAATCAAACATCTCATAATGAATTCGATGCCAATGAACTTGCATTAGTTGAACAATAAGAAACAGCATTAAGAAGGTCACAAAGACAATGTAAACCTACTATTTTTAATGATTATGTGGCTTACCTGCAAGAATCTGAATTTGACTCAGGAATTGTTTATGAAGATCTAGTTTGATTTCCACGGGCCATTGAGAGTGTTAATTCTAATAATTTGTTAGATGCTATGAAAGATGAGTTGAAATCCATATAGCATAATGAAGTCTAAAATCTCGTCGAATTACCTGAATCATGTAAAAGAGTTTGGTGTGAATGAGTCTCTAAGACCAAGTGCGACTCTAATGGTAATATCAAATTATATAAAGCTAGACTTGTTGTCAAAGATTTTATTCAGAAAGACGACATTGATTATAAGGAGATTTTTTTGCCAACTCCAAGAAAGACTCACTCGAAATTATAATGGATTTAGTAGTATATTATGACTTAGGGCTATATCAAATGGATATAAAAACAACATTTCCAAATGAAAATTTGGATGAAGTTTATATGGATCAACCTAAAGTTGTTTTTTTTTTTTTAGTTGAAGGAAGGGAACACGTGATGTGTAAATTAAAGAAATAATTTACAGGCTTCCCGTCAATGGTATTTTAAGTTTAACAATACCATTACTTCCTTTGGATGTAAGGAAAATATTGTTGATCGATGTATATATCTAAAGGCCGGTGAGAGCAAGTTTATATTTTTTTATTCTACATGTTGATGTCATTTTACTAACTACTAATGATCTTAGTCTATTAAACGAAATTAAGTAATTTCTCTTTAAAATTTTAAAATGAAAATTATGGGAAAGACAACTTATGTGATTGAAATTGAAATATTTCCAGATTGGTCACAATGATTGTTAAGGTTGTCTTAGAAAACATATATTATTAAAGTTTTAAAGAGATTTAAGATCGCAAATTGTTCAGCGAGCATTGTTTCAATTCAGAAATGAGACAAATTTAGTCTCATACAATGTCCTAAGAATGATTTGGAACGCAATCAAATGACAGTTATTCTTTATATATCTCTTGTTAGGAGCTTAATGTATGCTCAAACTTACACTAAGCCACATATCAGTTTTGCTGTCGAAATGCTGGGCAGGTATCAAAGTAACTCAAGACTTGATCATTAGAAAATTATAAAGAAAGTATTATAATACTTGTAAGGAACGAAATATTACATGCTCACTTATAGGAGATCTGATAACTTTTAGGTCATTGGATATTCAAATTTAGACTTTGCAGGATATGTGGATACTAAAAGGTCCACATTTTAGACATTGCTACATCCATTATAGAAGCTGAGTTTGTGGATGCTTTAAAGCCATAGTTCAAGGAAATTGAGTGCGAACCTTTATATCAGGGCTTGAAATTGTTGACAGTATTGCCAAGCCGTTGAAACTTTATTGTGACAATTCTGTAACAATCTTCTTTTCAAAGAATAACAAGTACTCGAAAGGTATTAAACACATGGAATTGAAGTACTTTGTCATCAAAGAAGAAGCTCAAAAACAAAAGGTGTCAATCGAGCATATTAATACCAATCTTATGATTGCAGATCTACTAACGAAAAAATTGTCCTCAAAGACGTCTAATGAACACGTTGAAAGAATGGGCACTATTGCATTCATTGAC